GCTGTTTGCTCAGTATCCCCTGCCTTGGCATCTTTCCTCTTGCTTCAACTCGGCTTTATGAGCAGAGCTTGGACTTGCTACTCAGACCATTAGTGCAAGATCTGAGATCTGTCCTGGAAATCTCCAAAGTGACAATTTTCAAAGAAGCTTCACTGACAGGTAGACAGATTTAGCAATAGGCCGGTTAGGTACTTTCAGTGGGATTTGGATGCATAACTCTTTTAGGTGTCTGAAAATGTCAGCCCAAGACCTGTACTTTACCACTGAATGACTGAAACAAGTGACAGTAGCATATGGTTGTTAACTACACAGGGCACATAAAGTCCAACTGCAACCTACACCCAAGCTAAGAACATGCTGGATAACTACTTACTTCAGGTATCCATAAGGCACAGCTAACGTGGACCCACTTTGTCCCACTCCGGGTGGGTTTCAAAGCTCCCCCTCTCTTCGGGCAAAGTAAACACTTCGGCTGAACTCCAAGGGCGCAGGTTCGACAAAGCCAGTTCCCAATGGGAACTTTGAGGATCCCATAGCACGCCTGTGCAAACACAAGGAAGGTGGCATTAGTTACAGCCTATATCTCAACAGAACTGCGGCACTCATACACTGCTGGCCTCTCTCATTTACCATTCCCCAATAGGTGCCTCCTTGCCTTGGCATCCAGCTGTCAAAACAACAATTAAAAGCAGACATAAAGAAGTGCCTCAATGGGGCACAACTAGTTTAAGGGTAAATTCCCCTTTCCTTCACTCCTTCCTTCCTGTTTTATATGGATTCACACCTGACGCACAAATATGCCCTTGACATGCCAGGCAGCCCTGCTAATGTGCCTCCGTCTGTCACAGGCCTTGTCTTACATCACCAGTGGAAGGGGCAGCTGTGATGGTCAGATTCTCAGATGTGACCTCTTTCCATCAGGCACCAGACCAAGTCCACAGACTCCCATGCAGCTACCAGAAGAACAGCAACTTTCATTCACATAAGCTTGGGTCCCATTTGTGTATATGTGTATAAGGAAGAGCTGGGTTTATATAGATAGATAGATAGATAGATAGATATAAATAAACCAGAAGCTGGGAACTGCAGAGAACTGATAGAGAAATCAGAACAGTACAAGATGAAACCTGTCTTAGTAGCAGTATAGTAAGGAGTATTTTAAGTATGTTAGGAACAAAAGAAATTCTAACAATGGTACTGGTTCATTTCTGAATACAGCAGAATTGTCAACAACAGCCTTCCTGCCTCCTGACATTCCCATTTCCCTAACCACAAAAGTCACATGTGTCCAACAAACATTTATTTTCTGTACTTGGAAAAAAGCCAGATGGCAGTCATATCAGATGATGATGATCACATATTTTCTACACCACTGGTAACTGAAGCTGCTAGTCACTATGAAAGGTAGATGTTTGTAAGCAAGGAGGTAAAAAAGGTTTGGATTCAAGAATTTTAAAAGAGCTGGATAAGGAGCCCTTCAGACCATTCAGGTTGATTTCCAGTGAAGTGCTGGAACGCTGGAGACACCCGAGAGCACTAGAAAAAAAAACTTGGGGCCCATATTTAAAAAGGGTAAATGAGACAACTTAATTAATTACAGGCTTCTCACCTGATAATCATCCTGGGTAAAATAAGGGGATGACTGATAAGGAACTTGAATAAAAAAATGAGAGGAGGGTAACATGACCTAGTCAACATGGGTTTATGGAAAACAGGACTTGTTTGACTATCAATATTTTCATAATGGGATTCTAAGACTGGTTGATAAAGGTATTGCAATTGATGTTAATATATGAAGATGTCTGTTAAGGATTTGACTCGATACCACATTTTGCTGAAAAAACCCTGGAGAGATACAAAATCAAAGTGACATATGAAATAGGTAAAGCACTGACTAACTGATCATTCTCAACATCTGGTTGAAAAGGAGGAATTATCAGCAACTGCGTGTGATTCTTCAATTAACAATCATTTCTTCCTTCCTTGTAACTCTGACTCCGTAATATCTCTTGCACACTCCTTGCCTGTGCCTCCTCCCCACAGTAAGTTTAACTAAAAGACACAGCCATGCTCTGATCTGAGCAGCATCAGAATTTGCAGTGTTCCCCAGATACTTCCCCTTCTGGTGAGGTGAGAGATGTTGTAGTTCACTGGTAGGTTAGTACGCGAATCACTGCAATTACATTAGTGCTTTTTAAGAAAATCCAATATCCCATCTCCTTCCTTGCTCATTCATCTTGGAAGCTCACTGTTTAAAAAGCTTGTATTTAATGGGCCAGAGGTACAGAAAGAGGCAGAGAAGGAGAGAGGAATTCCCAGTCAACTGCCTCTAACTTCCAGCCTCATGACATTCCCATTTCTCTGGCCAGCATTGCAGCCAGGCATTTCATACAAAAAATATACGTTTCTGAGTTATGAGCCATCTCTTGTTTGGAGATATGACGAGGAGCTAACTGGTGAGTAAGCTCTCTAAGTGAAGATACATTTTTGTGCAGAGTGGATGTCAGCATTTCTGTCAATCTGTGTCTGAGATCTGCCTGACTGGGAAACACATGGAAGAGCGTGGTGGCACTTGTGCTGAGATCAGCTCACTCCATCCTCACGTCTTAGCAAAGCTTCTGTCTTTCATCCTGAGGATTCATGCAATCCAAATGCATACACAAAATGATTGTGACCCACTTTGTAGGGAGGACCAGCACTGGGTCGGGAAGCTGTACTAATAGTGGAATGGCAGCAAGACAGGCTATAGGCCCAGCCTGCCTGCCTAATGTGATGGGCCATGTAGCAGGAACTAGAGGAAACAGCCAACTGGATGTAACAACTCCTGCACTATTGGGAAAGCACAGACCTCCCAGAGGAGTGGGAAACTTGCTGCTTGTGAACACTGGGTGGGAACTGAGAGAGAGACGACCGGTATGTTGTGGGGGGTTGCCCAGGGACAAGGAATTTCCTGAGGAATAGTCAAAATGCCAAAGGCAGAAGGCAGGGCAGGGTGTGACTCCCCTGCCTGGGGTGTAAGTCAGGGTAGACATGATATCACTGATAGCTCAGAGGTTTGGTAGAAGATGTGGCCGATGATCTGGGGCCTGATACAAATCCCACTGAAATCAGTGGAAAAACTGTTTATTTCAATAGGTTTGAAGTAGCCTGTCAGCTGCTACACGTATCCAAGCTGAACAGAAGTGAGTTGGATGAGCTTCTCACTGGAGACAACACAACAAAGCTGGTGGGCAGGCACAGGTCTTTGACTAGATGTGAAATCTTTTCTTAGACCGACTGGGTAGTTGGAAAAAAGTTCTTAGCAAGCTTTTGGGCGCAATCACTCTTCTTCAGACATAGGGAGTCTCTGCTGGTCTGAGACACCAAGGAATGAGAGAAGCTAAAAGTGGATGTCAGTGAGAATGTGAATAGGTAGAAATTAGGAAAACAAAAGGTAAAGCAGGGAAGGGAGGGGGGAAAAAAGCAGGGGGCAACAAAACCAAAGGTGAGTAAGGGAGAGTCTTCCTTACGCACCTTTGGCTTTCCTTCCCCACTCACCTTTGGCTTGCTTTGCAAAAAAAAAGTTCTTAACAAGCTTTCAGGTGCAGTCACTCTTCTTCACGCACAGGGAGTCTCTGCTGTCCAAGGAATAAGAGAATGAGTCCGTAGCATCTCAGACCAGCAGAGACTCCCAATGCCTGATGAAGGGCGATCGCGTCCGAAACCTTGCTAAGAACTTTTTTCCAGCTGCTCAGTTGGTCTACTAAAAGATATCACATCTACTCAAAAAACCTTGCCTGCCTATGTCCTCAGACCAACATGGCTATAACCAAAAACCCAGCAAAGTTGGTGGGGTCATCTGTGTGAATATATGGTGCTGGGAAGCCACATTCTACTTTCAGGTGGTAGGACTGCATACACTGAAGAGCAAACCGCTCCCTCAGGCTGGTCACCTCTTTTACGCTGAAGTTAGCTATTAGGAGCTTTCTAATAATGCGGGTGGTTAAGCCTGGAACAGGATACCTGGGAATGTCATGGAATCCCTGTTATGGGACTTTCTAAATTGATGACCAGACAAACATGGTTTATACAAGGATGATCCTGGTTTAAGTCAGGGCTGGACAAAATTCCTTTCTGGGGGTCCTTCCAGCCCTTTTCCCCCTATGGTTCATAAGTTGGCCTCCTTTCCTTCTGTGTCTGTTTTGTGCAGGCAATATACAGTGTCTCCAGGCCTCTGTTGCCCAGGGAATGCATGCTATCTCCAGGCCTGTGCTGCACAGAGAATGTGTGCTGCGTCCGGACCTGTGTTGCATAGGGAATGCATGCTGTCTCCAGAATGTGCTGCATGGGGAATGGATGCTGTCTCCAGGCCTGTGTTGCATGGGGAATGTTTGACACTTCTAGGCCTGTTTTGCACAGGGAATGTGTGCTGTCTCCAGACTGTGCCACACAGGGAATGCATGCCATCTCCAGGTCTGTGCTGCATGGAGAACGCGTGCTGTCTCCAGACTGTGTTGCACAGGGAGTGTGTGTCATGTCCAGGCTTGAAGTTACTACATAGATCTGTAACAAAAATGCTGAACTGTCCCAATGCTCTATGGAACATAATTCACTGATGAAAACCATCCCAAACACCCGCCTACATCAGCAAGAAACACCTTTAGCACTCCTCCACTCACTGGAAGCTCTGATGCTAAAGCTGCCAGGAAGGATCAGGCCTCCACCCTTAGTGAGAGGAACCTCCAAATGCAGAAAGGAAAGGAAATTAGACACTTTCTCTTTGCGCCAGACCCGACCCCAGATTAACAGAACGCTGAGCTCCGATTACCGACCTGACACGCACAGACCAGTCGTTTTCCTTCCTTTGCAGAATGAGTAGAAAAATTTTCAAGAGCACCTGTGTGAGGAGGTCTCTGAGACTGAACATCTCAAGGGACATGCAAATTGGCCTATTTTAATAGGAAATTTCCCCCTCCTCAGACCCACTCCCACACACATACCCTTCCCTGCTTCAAATCATGTGCATGAAGAGTGCAAGCACACCCGAGCACACAGTATCCCATCCAATTCCTTCCTTCCCTGAAGCAAGAGCTCAGTGTTAACGCTCAATTCTAAAAATAAAACATTTCTCTTCAGGCAGTAAAATAAAATCAAATCCCACATTCAAAGAAGAATAAGGTGGGGATATAAACCCTGTCAGGTGACAGAATGTCTCTTAAGCTGCTGGCTCCTTGCACACACAGAATAATGCTACACAGCCAGCACCCGAGTGGAGATGGGGGGAGGGTACCTATTAGTCTATCCCTCTTGCCAGGGCAGGACTATGGCTTATAGTATATAGACTATTGCTTTGTCCACTATTAGGTATACTACACACAGTGCATAAAAAAGACCTTCTGTAGCCACATCTGCATTCTGGTCACTCACAGTCATTAAAAATCCCGTGGCAGCAGTTTAATGAGGAGAGATGTGAAAATGAAGAGGGAGAGAAAAAAGCAGCACAGTAAGTGGAAGGGGTGAGGTGAAAAACCAGATAACAGAATAGGAGGGAGAGGACAGAGCAAGGAGACACCGAGCTCTGACACATGTCACTGACCATGGGAGAGGAATGGGAGTAGTAAAGAAACAACCTGGGGAAGGGTGGGCAAGAGGACAGACCCCTTCCGTGCTCAGAGTCAAAGACCCACTGTATCACTCTGTGAATGTCCCATATGCAGCCACGAGGCACAGTCATCCCACTCTGAGCTGAAGGGGTCGACATTTGATGGGTCATGACCAAACTGAAGTCCCCGCATGCATTTGCCCAGAGGTGATAAAGGCAAAGCCCTCACTAGGACTCAGTGGGAGACTGGCTGAATGAAGATAAAATCAAAACAGAGCCAGGCACTCTTTGGCCCCCTGGGGACAGTGTGTAAGAGATGTAAGAGAGTGAATGTATGCCTACATGCATGCCTGGGCAGGGGGATAGGGATGGATGCAGCCAGCCTTTCCTCTCTCTTTGGGGCCCTGGAAGGCCATGGGGGAATTCCAGTTCCTAGTTAGGTCCTTGATCCCTTTCTGCTCCTTTATGTGTGCACAGCCCCAAAAATGGGTAGGGAGGGTGAGGAAGAGGAAGTGCTAGGTCCTACCCCTCTTGCATAGTGGCCTGTAGTTTAGGCTCCCTACACTGAGGGGAGTAGCAGGGGCAGTAGTTGTGGGCTACCCTGGAATAAGGACCTAAGGTTTAATCATAGAAGTTAGGGTTGGAAGGGACCTCAGGAGGTTATCACCCCGAGCACAATCATTTAAGGGAGGTTCTCAAATCTAAACAAACCCCTGAAATATCACGTGGGTAGCAGAGGAGTGGGGCAGGGTGTGGGGCACAGCAGGAAAGGCCAAAGGAACCCAAGCCAGCACCACACACTGCTGTTCTGGATGCTGGCCGTCAAGCAGGTCCTTCTTCCGTCTAACCCAGGCAGGTGCATGCTCCAGGCTGTGAAATATGCTGAGAGCAGTGCTCCCTGGTGTGAGAGGAGATGCCATTTACCTGGTGCACACAGACGTTGCACTTGTCACAGAAAACCATCTCGTTGCCATCCTCGCCCTCTGGGGATCGGCATACGTCACATACAACATCCTCATCATACTCGATGCCCAGGCCCTCCTCTGTCTCAATGGCAATGTTCATGTTCTCATAGCACATTGTCTCCAGCTCCTCCAGCACTCTCTCCAAGGTGATCTCATCCAGCTCTGGCTTCTCTGAAAGGCAAGAGACAGGGAAATGACATTTACAATACAGCAGCAAATGGCCCCCAGCCCTAGAGTCCCTACGACATTTTGCCTGCTGGGGTGAAGTACGCAGAGCTCTGCCTTTGGAGAGGCTTTGAACAAGGCTGCATTTCACAAAGGAGACATTTTAGGCTTTCACTTAAGAAAGTGAATTCGTGGCAATGATAAGATCTGTGAATCAGAAAACTGCTTCTAACTTTGAATGCAGTTTATGTTTCATACACAGTAACGAACTCTTGCTGCTGGCTGAGGGGGAAAAATCCATTCAGCTGAACCAATGCGGATAATTAGGTCTGACAGTTTAAATGTTCAAGTCTTGCAAAGATGCTTTCTGCAGTGGGGGCTCAGACAAGCTTTGGCAACATAAAGTCAATGCTTTAATTGTTAAGACTGTGAAAACTGACCCTTTTAAGGCTAATTAAACAGAACTGTAAATTTAAAGCCAAAGGCTGAAATTGATAACAACATTTGTTTCTGTTTCTGGTCAATATGAACAGTCAGGAGGGCAGTTACGGAGTGTGAGATCCGGGCTCGTGTTTGTTGCCTGACTTTGCATTCTCATTGGACTTGCATTGTCGGTGACAACTGGAAGTGAAGGCCCATCGAGCAAAGGCATACCTTTATGGACATCACTGCAATAGGGACGACGCCATATACTTAAGTGTGGGTGTGCCGGTAACTGTGTTACACCCACACTTCCTGCCACTACCATGAGGATGTTACTGCCAGCACCTATCAGCAGTGAAATGTCACTGGTGAGTAGAGTTGCAAGGAACTCAATCTCTCATCTTCTTCCATTGCAGGCTCTTTCCTGTGGGCCAGTTCCTACCACTGCACTGAAGTCAATGGGAGTTTAGCTCATTGACTCATAATAGGATATGGCCCTCAGTCTTCAGAGGCAGGGTAGCTACAATCAACTGCAATCAACTGAATCATGGGACGATCGGGTTTTCCTCTCGAGCTACTCTGAAACTCACCGTATTAGCAGACAATTCTGCTGTTTTCCGGTGCGGTGGAAAGGACAGGTGCCTGAAAAACATCTTTACGCTTAGGAACCTGTCTTTTCTTGCTAATCTCATGCCTGGAAAAAAAAATCCTTTGTTTGAAAGAACATAATCATCTGCACAACAACCAGGAAGTCACAAAAGCAAGTGGTCATTGCAGGTGATGAATAAAGGAAGAAATAAAAACAGATGCATCAGAGAGTCGGAGCGCCGGGTTCCAAGAGGCAGAAGAACAAAGATTTACCAAAAAAGGGGAAAAAACAACACAGAGGCCAGCAGTATTTCTTTGTTAGCTGTCAGGTGAAGGTGATTTTCAGGGAAATGCTTAAGGTCTCCTAAGGCAAATTAAGCTTTGCACTGTTTGTTTATAATAATGATCTGATAATAATATAATCATGATCTGATAAGAAACTATGGTAGACACAATGGCGGCGGAGGAACTTGACTTGAGATGCTTCAGTTTCGTAGGAATCCTTCTTTATGAAAAACACCACAATTTTCTGCAAGTAGAATAACAAAATGACTCAGTTTACAACAGAGTAACAGTGATGGCTCAGGCCATTTCTGTAGATTACTGCAGATTTCTTGTCATATAGGTTTTCTACCTACCCTGCTGCTAGACAGCAGGGGACAGTTCTTAGTTTATAAACACTGAAGGGAAAAAGAGACTTGAAGATAAGTTAAAAAGGTAAATACTTGAATATTTGGTGAATGGCTTTTCTATGCTGGAAGTCCTTACCTAGGGCTAAATTTGGGGTCCACCAAAGACAATGACAAAGCTTGCAGGGACATGGATAGGACTGGCACTTGGTCTTTGCTCCCTGCTGGTTCAGACAAACATCCAGCTGCTTCCAGGCAAGCACTACTGATGAAGCTTGAAGGATGTTTTCCTTTTGCACAGTGTCCTAATGACCCAGTAACATGCTGCAAAACCTTCCTCGAGTAGGAAAGTCTACTGGCTGTCTGAGATCTTCCCCAACATGCTCCACTGGCAGAGTTTACCAGGCTTGACAAGCTTATGCAAACATCTGGATTGGCATTTTACCAGGCTGAGATACAATCTACAACAGACAACACCGTTCTCTGTTAGGTTTCTTTCAAGTGCTTGAGTAGTTATGCTGCAACTTGCCAAGATGCCTGACAGTACCTGTTTTATGGCTGGGAAGCCTAATGGATGCATCCAGGATCATTTGGGAACCCAGATCCGGAGCAGGGTGCCTCAGAGGCATTTGAAGAACAACAGCCATTTAGCTAGTTGACATGCCCTTCATTAGCAATCTAGTCACCAAGGTCTATGCATCACAGCTTACACATCTGCTCGCATTTTTGGAGCTGGACCACCGTGGGAACTTTGAGAGAGAGTGCACTACCCTTTGAAATGCTGCGGGCTATCCCTTTGGTGCTAGGTGAGTGATTCAGGATAAGTATTTATAAATTAAAAGCGTTTCTTTAAGAACCGATCATTTGAATGAGGCAGGCATGGTTCTTTGAGATGCGATATCTTTTATTAGACCTGAGTAGTGGGGAAAAAGTCCACAGCAAGCTTTCGGGCACAATCACCCTTTGTCAGGCATTGGGAGTCTCTGCTGGTCTGAGACGCTAAGGAATGAGAGAATGAGTCCTCACATTTACTCAAAGACCCTTGCCTGCCTATGTCCTTACACCAACACGACTGCAACCACAAACCCAGAGATGGTTCGAATGAGTTGTTATCATGTCGGCTCCTTCACCCTCTGGTTTTCAAGTCTTTTGGAAATGCAAATCACCATGAAGGCTCCTTATATTTCTGGGGGACAGTGTCTACACTAGCCCCTGTGCTAAGAAATAATTATGGGCACAGAATTTGTTATTCATGAAGCAGAAGAGAGATCGACGGAAAAGGAGGATGGTTTCCACAAGAAACTTAAAACCGATCTGTCTCCAGGGCCAGGATCATGTTGGCACCTGGACAGTTCCCATTTCACTCCTAGTGGAAACAACCTTCTCATACCTGCAACTGTATATTCTTCCCCATCTCTCACCTCCTGATTCAGTGCATTTCTCTACTGAAATGCCAACTTGTAAATTTTTCATTGATAGCGATATCCTGCCGTGGCCAGCTTAAACCACAGGAGAGGTCTGTGTTGATGTCAAACCTGCCTGTCTCCCCGCTGAAAACCAAACATCCCACTTCGCTGTGAAAGTGAGCCTTATTCCATCGGGAGTCCTGGACATGTGTTCAAGAGAAGTATTTGGCCTTTGAAGAGTACATAAACTTTACAAGTCCCAGCTGCAATGGATGCTCTAGCTGTGTAGCTCAGGCAGAAGGGTGACGGACTACAGCCTGGAAGGACCTGCATTTGATCCCAGGCGAGGGTGGTGGGTTTCCACTTCTACTGCAGCCCTGAGGCCCACCCAGGCTCCTCTCCAATGGGCACTGGAGCAGGGTGCTGAGCACATCACCTCCTCCTCATGCTGCCATTAAAGAAACAGTGGAGCCCTGTCCCATTGGCCTGAAAACAGGACACCTTTACCTGTAATGAATGCTGGCTCGCTCATCACTTGTTATATGTTTGTTGTATAGTTACACACACACACACTCCTTTTAGATGCAATCACATTAGAAATTCATTTGCCAAGTTGCCTTCAGCCTACCTCGGAGCCTCTTGGAGCGACAATGGTAGTTGATGGGTATGAAGCCATTAATCGCTTATGAATCGCTAAAGAATGGGGCCTAAGGGTGAAGTTCTTTTTTGCATTTGTGCTCTGTTTATCTGCTTCTGCATCATATAAAGTTACTGCTATTAAGCCCCATTCATAAAATTGACGTCTTTCTGGCTGAGAAAACTGCTGGCTGTAGAGGCAGTGGCCAGCAAAATAACAAAAAGCAAAAAATCTCACCCTATTCAAATGCTGCCCGTGTTGTACACAGGGTTGATAGTCTCACTTGAGGAATGATGAACAAGGAGCCAGGTTCTGATCTTTGTTACTGTAAGCACTATAAGCAAGCCCAGTGTCGCCTCCCCCTCTGGGAAGGCAGAAACCCCAACCTCCCAAAGGAATGATGCTTTAGAAACTAAGCCGGTGGACGCTCTATCCTTCATGGTAGGCCAGAAGGCACAGGGATCATGCATCCAACCAAACTAAGCACCCCTTGGGAGAGGAAGGACTTTAGGAGAGGGGGGAGGCAGAGGAGGTGTCCAACTATGAGGCATTGCAGGAGGTCTCCAGATCTGCCTTCAGCACGACATGCATGTCCCAAATCTGCTCTTTGGGTTTGGTTCCCAAGAAACATGTTTCCTTGTATGTGTGCTTGCTGTGCGCACTACAGGGACCTAGGTTGTGAAGCTTCAATTTCTCTTCTTTCCTCCCCAGCTCTCAGTTACGTCGGTGTCAATCTGGATTAATTCCACTGGTGCAGAGAAAAGAAAGTGGCTTTTGGTTACTGACTCTGCCATTCACCCCTACCAGGGCACACGGCATGCTGCAGCCAAATTTGAATTTAAATGGATGAATGGCACAACTACAGGGTTATTTCTACCACGTGCAGATTTCTGAGGATTGCATCTCGTTCTTCTATTACCATTACTTCCTCCCCTCATTCCCATCAAGTCCTGGATACCCTTTGTGCTGTGGGTGACCACCCTTCTGGCTGAGCTTACACAACCAGTTTTTCTGCAGAGAGTAGGGGCCAGTTACTCATGCATAAGTTAGAATGAACCTCAGGCACCCCAGACACAGGTATAGCTATTACATATCATGTACAAACATTAGTAATCTCAGCTATCATTATTTATATAGCATTATAATTGCATGTGACATGGCGGAGGCACGCTCTTTTACTAAACGTTCTTTACTCTTCCATATCCCAGCTCAAACCTTCTTGATATACTGGGGGAAGGAATTAGTAAGAGAGCCACCTTTCACAAAACTGAGATTTATGTCCAACTAAACTGCACTCCATTAAAATCAATTTACTGAAACAAT